GACCAACTTTGGTCGCTTATTTTAAAAAAATTAAAAAAATTAATAGTAAAGCGACCAACTTTGGTCTCAATATCCAGATTTTAAAATATAATATTTTCTTTATAGACAAAAGTTGTTCGCTTTTGTTTGATTTATAATAAATAAAAAAAACGTAATTTACATGTGGCGACCAACTTTGGTTGCAAAAGTTATATTATTAAAATATTAAAGAGATCAAAGTTGGTCGCTTTTTTCTTTAACCGGAATATTTGGTCTTTTTAGCTTAGAGACCAAAGTTGGTCGCTAAATGGCGACCAACTTTGGTCCCTAAGGTAAAGGGACCAGCTTAATTTTGAACAAGCCTATTTGATCGCTTTTTGGTCGCTTTTTGGCCAATAAGCGATCAACTTTGGTCGCTTTTCGTGGTCGCTTTTTTCCGGATTTCTAGTAGTGGAGTAACAAAGCCCTTTACCATTTCTTGATGAGCAAAACAAAGATCTCCCAGTAAATAATTAACTAAATACTTTAGGTATTATGTGTCTTGTATCGACATATCCAAATTGAAAAACATTTGAGCTATACATTATATTGCACTCGTTGTGCTTGTGATGAGTAATAGTTTGAAAAGAAGGGGACAAGTATTCTCTTTTTCAATAAAAATCTACAACTCCACCGAAATAAGGAAAAAATGTTTCTAAATTATTGTAATAATGTTATAACGTACGATCGAGGGAAAAAAAAAGCTTGAACTTTAAATGCGTAAAACCAATTATGCATGCATGCCATTGCAAAAGTGGAAGATCATCTGGGAGGAAGTTTATTACTCCTATATTGCTAAATGGAGAAACATAAGTTAACTAAATCTCGATTCTTAAATTAAACCTCCACAACAAAGAAGAGACACAGATAGATGGAAAAGAAAATTACTTGAAAAAAGAAAAAGGACAGTAGAACACATGCACGGGCACGTCCCAATTTATTACTGGAGAATTGAACAAAATTAAGCTTAGGGTTTCAAGGTATTCCAACTCCTCCATAGCCAGCACCAGAACCTTCCCCTTCACCAAATCCAGTGCCATTAGCTCCACTCATACCACCACCACCTCCACCTCCACCTCCTCCACCGCCACCACCTCCACTGGCTCCTGTTCCAATACCGTAACCATAACCACTTCCACTACCGTAACCAGAACCATCTCCCATTCCTCCGCCACTTCCTCTGCCGCCCCCACCTCCATATCCTCCACCACTACCACCATCTCCATCACTACCTACTCCTTCACCAAACCTTTCCCCAGAACCATACCCGGGACCTTCACCACCACCCGCACCAGAACCTCCACCGCCACCATAAGCAGCAGGATGGTAAAATGACTTCTCTTCCCCAAGCGTGTTCCTCGAGCTTACCAGCGGCGGCATAGCAGAATTGGTGGCCTAAAGTCAAATCATAATAAAAGAAAATGCTTTAAACTTATATCATAAAATTCATATACTAATCAAACAAATAGACTTGCCTTCTGAAGTATATATGAATCAATAAAATGGGATAATTAAAGAGAAAAAACTAATTCAGGAAAATTGAGTTCAAATTGGATTTGAAATTATCGAAAATAGGAAAATGAGATGAATGTAAGTATAAGAGGACAAATCAGAATTGAAGAGGGAGTTAATTGTACGTAAGTTTATCATAATATACTTACTCATTCGAACAACCTCAATCCCAAAAAAAAAAGTATAATTGGAACCTTATTATCGATAATTATACAAATTAGTACCTTGGAGCCGGCACGAGAATACAGAGGCTGCATGGCACCAAGAAAGCGAAAAAGAGCACACAGAACCAAGAGAAGGAAAAGCTTAGAGTTAATCATCTCTGAATTAGCTGGGACTGAAACGAAGAGAAAAAGCTCGTTATTTTGTAGGCAACGAGAAGTGAAGCCTAGTGATGTAATTATATATATATATATATATATATATATATATATATATATATATATATATATATATAAAAGAGGTAGGGAACACAAATATTGTAAGGAAAATTTAAGTCTCAAGGAGCGGGACAGTTGAAACGTTAAATATTTTCAATTTATGTTGTGGTGCAGGTTGCATTATAATTTTCAATTAATACATGCAGCTAAATTTACGGTGAATCAAATGATGATGATTCTCACCTCTTCCTACAGTACACAGGCTTAGAATTTCGGGCCTCTTAATTATGTCTTCTCTATATCTAGTTCTCTTTCTATGTTCATGATCTCTTTGATGAGTTTAGGTTCCCTATTATTAGTATTTGCAATACTGAATCGATTAATTGCCAAACAGATTAAGAAAAGACGAAGAAGGGAAAAAAAACAACAGTAGTTGCACTTTTCCTGGATACTACTTTTTGTAATTAATTGGAAGGTCAACATTGTACTAAATTACTAATCCATGTATCAACCAATCGTGCATTGTTTCTAGATTGAATTCAACTTTCAAGCGACTGTAGTAGATTACTGTATTGTTGTTCAAGTGTTTACTGCTATAGAATCTTATAAAGAGTTGGTCATGGCATCCAGACCAATAAATTATGGATTTAAGGTAATAGTGTAAACTTTTTTCACATTGGGGTCAATGTAATTAATCGTGTGATACTATATTAGTATCTTTTTACTAGGTTAACATAATAATGGATGGAAACACAAGAAGAGGGTAAGAGAAGTGAAGAAATCATTTTCCATAGTATGATAAAAAGTGTAAAAGCCAAGAGAAATGAAATTAAGAAGATAAATTGCACATGTACATAGAGGCAGAGCCAGAATTTTAAGCTTATGGGTTCAGAATTTTAATGGTCTTAAATTAGTGGGTTCTAAATTAATAATCTATACATATTCAATAAATTTTTTAAGACAAATACAAGATTCGAATCAAAGCTACTGGATTCGGCCGAACCCGCTCTCGGCATATATAT